ACTAATATAGTTGTCAAACTATCAAGCCACCACTAATATAGTTGTCAAACTATCCAGCCACCGCTAATATAGTTGTCCAACTATCCAGCCACCAAAAATACAGTTGTCAATCTATCTAGCCACCACTTATATAGTTGTCCAACTATCCAGCTACCACTAATATATTGTCAAACTATCCAGCCACCACTAATATAGTTGTCAATCTATCTAGCCACCGCTAATATAGTTGTCAGACTATCCAGCCACCACTAATATAGTTGACAAACTATCTAGCCACCACTAATATAGTTGTCCAACTATTCAGCCACCACTTATATAGTTGTCAAACTATCCAGCCACCACTAATATAGTTGTCAAACTATTCAGCCACCACTAATATATTTATCCTACTATCCAGCCACCACTAATATAGTTGCCAACTATCCAGCCACCACTAATATAGCTGTCCAGCTATCAAGCCACCACTTATATAGCTGTCCAACTATCAAGCAACCACTTATACAGTTGTCAAACTATTCAGCCACCACTAATATAGCTGTCAAACTATCCAGCCACCACTTATATAGCTGTCCAACTATCAAGCAACCACTAATACAGTTGTCAAACTATTCAGCCACCACTAATATAGCTGTCAAACTATCCAGCCACCACTTATATAGCTGTCCAACTATCAAGCAACCCCTTATACAGTTGTCAAACTATTCAGCCACCACTAATATAGTTGTCCAACTATCCAGACACCACTAATACAGTTGTCAATCTATCTAGCCACCACTAATATAGTTGTCAAACTATCCAGCCACCACTTATATAGTTGTCAAACTATTCAGTCACCACTAGTATAGTTATCAAACTATTCAGCCGCCACTTATATAGTTGTCAAACTATTCAGTCACCGCTAGTATAGTTATCAAACTATTCAGCCGCCACTTATACAGTTGTCAAACTATTTACCCACCACTCATACAGTTGTCAACTATCCAGCCGCCACTTTTACAGTTGTCAAACTATTCAGCCACCACTAATACAGTTGTCCGACTATTCAGCCACCACTAATATAGTTGTCAAACTATTCAGCCACCACTAATATAGTTGTCCTACTATCCAGCCTCCACTAATACAGTTGTGAAACTATTCAGCCACCACTAATATAGTTGTCAAACTATTCAGCCACCACTAATATAGTTGTCCTACTATCCAGCCTCCACTAATACAGTTGTCAAACTATTCAGCCACCACTAATATAGTTGCCAACTATCCAGACACCACTAATACAGTTGTCAAACTATTCAGCCACCACTAATGTAGTTGTCAAATTATTCAGCCACCACTAATACAGTTGTGAAACTATTCAGCCACCACTAATATAGTTGTCAAACTATTCAGCCACCACTAATACAGTTGTCAAACTATTCAGCCACCACTTAAATAGTTGCCAACTATCCAGCCACCACTAATACAGTTGTCAAACTATTCAGCCGCAACTAATACAGTTGTCAAACTATTCAGCAACCACTAATACAGTTGTCAAACTATCAAGCCACCACTAATACAGTTGTCAAACTATTCAGCCACCACTAATATAGTTGTCAAACTATTCAGCCATCACTAATACAGTTGTCAAACTATCCAGTCACCACTAATATAGTTGCCCACTATCCAGCCACCACTAATACAGTTGTCAAACTATTCAGCCACCACTAAAGTAGTTGCCAACTTTCCAGCCACCACTAACACAGTTGTCAAACTATTCAGCCGCCACTAATACAGTTGTCAAACTATTCAGCAACCACTAATACAGTTGTCAAACTATTCAGCCACCACTAATATAGTTGTCAAACTATCCAGTCACCACTAATCCTGTTGTCCGACTATTCAGCCACCACTAATATAGTTGTGCTACTATTCAGCCACCACTTATATAGTTGTCCGACTGTTTAGCCACCACTAATTCAGTTGTCCAGCTATTCAGCCGCCACTAAGACAGTTGTCAAACAATTCAGCCACCACTAATACAGTTGTCCAGCTATTTAGCCACCACTATCGTAAAAACAAAATCCCTGATTTACGCGAATTTGATTATTTGTCAATTTTGCTGTATCTATTTTTTAACGGATTTCAGGATAAATATACTTACTTTTGCAAACAGACCATTGATATTTTTTTAGCATGGCGACATATCTTTCTTACCATTTTTGTTATTTATGAAAAGGACTATAACTGATGTATATGTATCTAACAGGTATCAACATAAGTATTGATTTGTCTTCTATAAAACCGATATTGCTAATTCGTACTGTGGTTTTGGTAAGAGAAATATGGGTTTTCCTACGTTGAGGAGGGGGTTGGCTTAATAATTGACTTTAAAGCTAGCGGTTTAGCTACAAACTCGACAAAATTGATCCCGATACAAGACTTCTATGACGATGGAATGTTGATTTTCTGTGAAGATCATGAAACTTGAACCACAATAAAATATTGACTGGTCATTTCTTTAGTTATTTGTTTTTACAGTTGGGAGTTGACTAACAATTACAATCATAGTAAAATGATGAATGGTTATTCTCCAAGGTACCATCCTCGATACTCTAGGGGTTACGCTCACTTACGCTCTTTGCACCCCTGGAATATGTCATAGCAAAATTGAAGGCATGCTGCTATCTATTTGATTGGTCTCGGGTAAAAAAAAACACCTGACCAATCGATAGGATGATACCTATCCTTTGAAGATTACAGAGGAGCGACCGAGACATTCTTTTGATGTACATCAAAGGATTAAACTAGTCTCCTCGTCTCATCCACAAGGTGGTGCACACTGAGCCTTCGATTTTGTCATGACATATATTCCAGTGGTGAAGAGAGCGTAAGTGAGCCTTACACTTGAAGGGTCGATGTACATGATAATTTACAAACACTGTAAAATGTACACTGATTATTTTTTGATGACCATCATTTCTAACAATCAAAGTAAAATTTGGACTGATTTTTTTCGGATGATCATGATAGGTTATATTCACAGTAAAATGTTGAAATATTTCTGTTTATTGATTGGTGAAGGTTTTGTTTTTCTGAACCTTTGTTTTCAAGTAAACTATGTATACTAGTTTTGACACGGGAATAACACATTGCTACAACACTGTAGAACTTAGACATTCATATTCTTCCAACCAAACAATACACAAAGGAAATCCTCCATGTCCACAGCTACAGCCTTTATTGTATATTCTGGGTCTGAGTTTATGACCCTGAGAATCCCACCATATATGAGGATTTTTCTCATCCTGTCAAACGCAACACCTCCATTATGTGATAAGTACACACTGAGTATTTCACCACTATAGACAAACTGTATCTCAATCAGTGTCCATGACAATTACATGCCTTTTCTTATTACCATCATCATATTTATCTTTCCTATCAGCTGCGACATTGTGAATGACTGGACACACTGAGATCCTATATCAATAACACATTAACGGCTTCCCTGTCCATAGCAGCCCTTTAAGGGAGCAGCATTTTACCTTGTGTGGTAAATAGGGAGATATGTTTGGCCATACCAACAATGAAATGGTAACTGGCAGTGACGAATATGCATTTTCACAAAGTCAAAGACCCTGGTCAAATTCAAGAAGGATATAAAGAGAGATGATTATTTTTATATTTAATTTATAATGGTGATTTGTATGCCTTTTATGTTTATCAATTATAACTAATACATTGTACTATTATTCATAGGTTGTAAAGAGCTTTAGAGTAATTTTGCAAATTATATAGGGCGCTATATAAATGTTGTATATAATTATTTTACTTATTACATGGGTGTCTCCTTGGTGCTGAATCTGTGTGTAAGTCGTCTTAAAAATAGCTCCAAGATCTTGCTCCACACTTGGCCATCAGTAGTAAGGGATATACAACCAATAACAGATAGACATCCATTGCTCCAACACTTCGGTCTTTTGCAGAAGTTTGTACATAGCCACAGACCCATTTTAGGGGTTCTGAATTTTGTAATGTAGAGGATAGTTTATGACCACCAGTCCTTACTGACACATACCGATCATTTGAATCTTTACTTTAATCTAAGGCGGAAATTTCCCCGATTGCTAGTTCTAGGGGATGCTGATGATGTTCATTTGGAGTGAAAGAGGCAGTAGGTACCTATCTAGTTCAGGTTTGAAGGAAGACTGGATTTGGAATAAATGTGCAATGTGCATCCTGCATAGTTAATTTCTAGGCGATAACCGTGCTTAGGTGGTGCCTTTTGTTCCTGTCACGTTGTTATGTTGTTTGCTGTACATTTCGAGATTCTGTTTGCATTTCTGTTCTCCTGCTTCATTTGTGATAAAGATAGTGTATGTGTTGTCAACATGTTAAGGTGTTGTTTTCATTGATCTGTTACCACGACAAATTATCACAGTTGTCTCGAAGAAGTTTATCAGTAGAAGTGATGTATTTCCCGAGTTTTGCTTGGTCAATTCTGTCGACGGCATTTTCAGTCTTGAGGAGTTTTTGATTTCATAGCATATATATCTTTTGCTACCTTAATCTTTCACTGTCCACCGATGAACTTCCAATCTTGTTTGTAAATAATAAACAAAATGTTTGCCAGTGAGGCAAGTTCGTTAAACTTTAGGTAACGTTTTAAACATGGGCAGTATGTCACAAAGTATGGTTATCTTAACATGACAATTTATCACGATAACTTCGTTATGCTTCTTCGTTAAGATACTGTTAAAACATATTACTTTGTATTATATATATCTGAATAAAGTCATTGAAAAAGTTTCTGTGTGACCGGTATTAAGTACCAAAACAAGGAAATTCAAGTCGACTGTTGCAAAAGACGATTTTTTAAGTTAATAATAAATAAAGAGAATAATTATTTAAAGCTAACAAATCTTAGTCATGTTAGGTTTCGTTCAATGGCACTATGGCTCCACCTGTCATTACAACAAAAACACTGTAAGATGATCACACTGTGCACACACTGTATATATGTTATTCACAGGAACAGGTCTACATAACCAGTGTATGAGGTAATGTCGAGGATAGCGCAGCGTGTGTGGAGATGTCGTTTAACACAGTTGGTGAACACGGTAATACCAGCCGCTAAGTACTGACGTGTCGATCTACCTGGAATATTACTAAAATCCAGGTAAGCTACTGTTGTCTTGCCTGTCCTAGATAAATTGTTTATTATGATCAAAATACAAGTAATGTTAAACCGTACTGTAGCATGTGACGTTGATGATTAAGGCGAGTTTTAGAGTGAACCGTCCTACTCCATACCCGTCTATAAATAATGCAAATATTTTCACAAATAAGATGTTTTTAAGATCAATCTTACTACGTACTACTGGTTGTCTACACCTTAAGATACGAACACAGAGACACCCCCTCCCTCCCACTACTTCGATCTAAGACTGTACTCATCAAAGATAGACGGCTGTAGTAAAGAGAAGAAATGAAGTTCTTGTTTATACCTGCCAAACAAAATGGCGGATGCCAATGTATTTATATATAGCTGCTTGTGATCATAGTTAAAGGTCAATATATAGAGACATTTTAACAATAAACAGCACTGCTCTCGAGTTCACTAAAGTGGCAGACGCCAACACTTCGGGGTACTCCTCTTATTCTCTGTTCTATGATGAAATGCTGAAATTTTAACGCCGCTTTAGTCATATTTATTTTAAAGAACTATGTCACCAACGTTTATGTTTAATTTTGATAGCACATACTTAGACTGAAAGTCGCAGAATCACATACTGCTATATGCCTTATGATTAAGTTGGCTATTCAAAATCCATAGAAATATTATTCATTTTTTTACATGATATGAACATGTTTTATTTTGTACGAATAAAGATAGACAAAAAACTCTCTTATATACGTATGTATAATGTAGTTTTTGTATGTATCAATATGAAGAAGATCCTAACCACGCCCGGTTCATTACCTAGTACTAAATTACAAATCAATGAACGTTCTTTCATTATTTACATGTTATAGTGAATGTTCACGCACTAGAATAAGTGATATTTTCCTTCACAATTTTTAGTAAATAGTTCTAATAGGATGTGACTTTTTCAGTGATGTGCAAAATGTAAAACAAACATTTTTGATTTCGAAACAATTAATATTTCATAGTTTCTAAGAATATTCTTCTGTAAATGTAAACTACCGATGTCTAAACTTTTAGTTTTTATGCTTTTCATTGTAACCAAATACCAAACTGTTGATAAAGTTAATAAATAAATTCATAAACAAAATAAAAAATTATAATAAAATGAAATATATATCAAAAATAGCTACAATAATATGTTTCCTACTACTGTTCATCTACCAACCAAAAGCTAACATACCAGCCTTCCATTTTTAGAGTGTTTACTTGTTTCAGTTAATAAGGTAACCAGTACCATTGTTCTTTTACAGTCATTATGACCTGATATGCTATCACGTGTTGACAGCGTTTGACATACCAGTTTACTTCGTGTCTAAGATAATTTAGGACTTACATGCTTTCCTGACAAGATGGGTGCATTACGTGTTGTAAGAAACGCTTACATTTCCGGAAGACCAGAAACTATTTATCATCTTTATAATAATAATAAAATAATATACAACATTTGATATAGCTACATGTAACATAAGCCACTCTAAAGCGCTTTACAGTACATAGATATACAATTTTATACAGTCAAATACAATTAGCATATATATTAATCAATACAATATTGAGGAATTCGCAGGAGCTGCCTTATTAGGCGCTAACTACTAGTCCTATGCCACATGGCTAATATCTCCATATGTGTGTATGCCTGTGTGTGTGCTGGAGATGTATTGTGTTCTGTTTGTAGTGGGACCGTGCTTCCAACGGTATCATTTATAGTGCCCCCTCACTTGAATGCTACAGCACAGACACCGCAACACCCACCCCAGACCATTGTATTAATCACCTGGGTTGTTGGGGTTGTGCGGGCAGGAGAAAAACACTTTCTCTAATATTCCATGCGTACGGCGACCTCTGGGATCGAACCCCGGCCGCCTGCTTCGAAGGCCGGAGTGTTAACCACTCGACCAATCCGCCCATATATACTACTACCTTATATAAACACCATGTTTTTCAAATGACTTCTAAGCTTAAAACTACGTAGACATTCTTTTTTGAGAAAATACGTTCCCAAGTGCTGGGAAATGGGAAAATCCGTTCTCAAGTTTTTGTTAAGTCGTTCTCAAGTCGTTCTCAACTTCTTTTTATACTGACAACAAATTATATGTATTTATCATGCTACCGGTAGGTGTTATAAAGTCGTTTATAGATGATAAGATTTATTTATCATACTATGTCAAGTATTTCTTATATTTCATAGGAATTTTTCTTAAATAACAACTTATGATCAACAAGCTGTATTGTATAAGTTGTTGACTGACACAAACCTAATAGTTCCAGGACAGTAAGGATGTCTCTTAGAAACACGTTTCTGGTCATACTTCTGTACGCTGTGATAGACTACACGTCAGCTGATGCAAGTAAGTACACGACAAAACATACAAACTGCTTATAAATGATACAACTACCTAAGAATATCAGGAAGAATGAAAAACTGTTCGATTTTTATAACATTGAACATTTACGACGATTTAACAGCCTTTTCATGTGTTACAAGGCTAGTCCGGCTATTATCGATTTCATACTTTCAAATTAATTACAGAAGTGTCATCAGCAAGTTTTCATTTTAAGCACACCCATAATTAATGACTTAGATATATTACTTTAATTAAAAATGTTTAAAAATGCATTACAATTTAAATATCCTGTTTTGGTAAATGCAACACATTTTTCTCAATTGCATTTATATCAATATTAGAAATGTGTGAGTTACTTGGATATTTAACAAAACACTTATTCTGTCTCTAGAAATAACCTGCTTGTTTAACTGCATTCTTGTTGGCATAGCAACTACAAAAGTGCTGTTCATTGATTAAACGAGTGCTGTTTATTTATTTCAGTTCAGTTGTTGATGGTGAACAATGTGTCGTGTTCTATGATAAATGAAGTGGATCAATTTGATTCGTACCAGTTAAATTGGGACGGTGAAATGCTTCCTCCTAATTGCAAACTTGGTTTTACTGGGAAGAGCATTCTTGTGTCAGAGGCACATGCCAAGTACAGGGTCTGCGTCAAGACCGTCCTCTATGACATCAAAGACTGCAATTTCAAAATGAATTTTTATTGCAACGACAAAATTGACCCAGCCCAGGTAACTATGCTTAAAAGCATAATAATTTTAATTTAAATAAATTAATAAAGCTGATTAATGAATAACTAAAAAGAAAGCACGATATCACTTATAATGATGCGGTGACGTAATAGTTAGAAAGATTATCCAAAGAGCAATGTATATCAAACTAATGAACATTTGAATAATATTCGCTTGATACTTAACAATTGTATAAAATTGACTTTTTTAAGTCGAACCCATCTGAAAATCATGAGAGTGACCTATGACGTCACGGAGAATTAGTGCAAATTACTACTATATCTTAAGCTGATGATGGCTAATTATATGTTAACTGCTTTTAGAGCCTACAAAATGTAAATGGCTAACAGTCAACCCTGCATTTAAAAACAGGTGCCTGTCCTTATTATCAACTAATACTAATAAAAGTCACTATGTTATATTTTTTCCTTTCTATGTAGTAACGCTCGGTCTTAAGAAGTCAATAGCCTTCCAAGATATTAGCACTTTCTGTCTAAGGGAAAAGTGATAATGTATAAAAATTAAAAGTTGAAGAAAATGTTTTCAAAATTGATTAATCGAACGCACCTTTTTTTCACTAGGAGTATACCTGCGGTACCGTGCATCCACCTACGTTTTGTGCTCCAGATCACTTGTTCATCGCATTCTCTAGATCTTCTCTGGCTTCGTCCACGTCCTCATTCCAGTTAATAGTGACAGCGGAAAAAACGTACACAGGTATAGTGGACCTAAATGGGTTACTGCTTTATATTAAATTACTGAAGCAAATGTAAAAGTTTTAATCCATTTTAGCGTACTTTCAAGATGAAATATATCCTTCGGGTATCTGTATACCATGTACTACAGAAAATAATAAAGTTTATACTAAGATATCTGTACCGTTTGAAATGTATTTTACTTTAGTTTTAATTCAATACATTCGAATAGAAATATAACCCAAGTCTGTATTGTATGGCTATTAAAAAAAATAAGAAAAGCGCTGTAACGCTATGTCGTTCAAAGTCAAACATTGTGACTTCATATAGCTATGTCGTATGATATTGGCTAGTCTTTATATGTTGTCATATTGTTGTGATCTAAACGTCTAAACACTTTCACATTTTGTTAAACACGTACATGCAGTATGGAGGTATGAGAGGTAACATGTTTTCAAACGTCTATTACACAGCCCCCGAGGAGAACATCTATCTCGTGTATAGTGTCGTGGCTGGATTGTCCCTCCTGTGCGTGTTGATATTGTGTACCATCATCCTGGTGGTATGTAAGAAGCACAAACAAGTACGACAAGCCAGGACAGGAAATACGCCTGGTCTGTATGACAATGCTCCACCCTCCATGATGCACGGAGCTGCTTTTCCGATTGGAATGCATAATCAGGGATACTTCAATACAGAACAAGGTAGTTTTTTATAAGATTTTTTTTTCTTTTCTAAAATGGATTTCTAGTTTAAATTGTGTTGGCTTACCGACATAGTTTATGTAGTACTTGCATATAAACAATGGCGTTATCAATAAGTTAAGTATGATTGGTTAATATTAATAGTACTATACTCATCATTTCCGCTCTGGAAGGTTATTGAGATATACATGTGTAATGAAAATATACATAAATAATAATGACTATCTGAACTATCTGGGTTTCTATTAGGATGTGACTAGTAAAACGTGCAGTTTAGTCACATGTTCTTGGGCAGATTAATTTATTTATTGTGGGAAGATCCAGTTTAATCCCATTTACCTACAAACGCAACACTTCAAACTTTGATTTGACATTCGTTTAAATTATAAAAACAAACCGTTTCAAAACATGAAGGTTACCTAACGAGAGTGGTTCGGTTATCATATTTATCTTAAACATATTATCTTATTTTATAAAATGCAAAATAAAGTATATTAAATATTGAGAGTTAAATAAACATGATAACCAATTTTTTGTAGGGGACCCTTTTCTGCAATAACGTTCATACTACTAAGAACATGTCATTTGAACACTGCTCATTTTTAACATTTGAAAATGTATCAAGAATACTAGTATTGTAGTGTTGTATTTTTTTTGTATTTATATTCATATAAATGTCGTGTCTATATGTTACCAATGGAGAGTTATTAACGTGTTACCTCCTTGTGTCATTTTTTACAATTTTCCGATTATATTTTCTTCAATTTCGAAGAAAGCAATGAATATGATGATGATTTATAATATATGGTAAAGTGTATACTTAAAATTGTTCTAGATTTCCATCCACGTGCTGTAGCCGTCAGCCTTCCAGCATATTCGGAGAAGGAAGAAAAGAATGAACCGCCTGCCTACACAGAAGTTACCGACATTGGGACAAAAGCATAGACGGTTGAGAATATTTCACAAAGTGTAAAGAAACAGTGTATCACAAAAAGTGACGGACAAGACAATAGTTAGTAAACGACGCAGTTGGGAAAATTGAGTGGTTTTTTCACATTTCCCATAAAACAGAAGATAAAAAAGCAGACGAAAAAGATATGTACATTTATTCGACAATATGAATTTTTTTTAACATCAGCAGGCAATACTTATAGTATTCAAACGACAAACACATAACGTTCTGTATCCATTGTGTTTTTCTTTTTGAATTGAGGTATGAAAACACCACCTAAATGATAATCTTCATCATGCTTTACAGTTTACAGGCACCACCTAAGTGAAAAGTGTTGTGACTATACTGTATGCCGAAAAAAATATTGTCCTTCATATGTAGTGATTATAGTGTGTTGTGTATCAATTTGCAATATCGGGATGTTTCACACCCTATATAGAGGGCAGAAAAGTTGAAATGTGAACTTCGGCGAAAAACAAATCTTTTATAAAATCTTCTATAAGGTTCATCAGTTTGGCAATATGTTATATCAAAGTGTTACTTTCTACACAAACAATGTACGTATTAAACGTTCACACAAACAATGTACGTATTAAACGTTTACACAAACAATGTACGTATCAATCGTTTACACAAACAATGTACGTATTAAACGTGTCGGAACGTTTCAAGACCCCAGGTCTCGTTGTCAAGCTATGGTAGAGTGAGGGGTTTGTATTTGATGTGGAGAAAGTAACATTTTGATATCCTGTATAAAGTATACGGTGTAAATAAACACACTATAAAATGTTGTTTTCTTATTTTGTCAATATTAAAGTTATCTAAGTGATACATAGCATGATCTGTAAAACAAAACATTGAGATTTTAATGTGATTTTATATTTTCATTATTAAAATTTGAAAAGTACCTTAACAGGAATGTTTATCAATCGTCCATCAGGTAAATACAGCTTGAATGATGTTTTTATTTTATTTTGTAGATTGATGAGATGCTATAATTGATCATATAATAAAAAATGATAATATTGTTAATCCAAAATTTGTAACTGTTTTGTAGATTTTCTTCGGTTTTTATTTTGTTTTAATAAAATACGTTAGTTTTGTTGATTTGAAGAAATTGTTTTTTATCATTCGACAATATATCAGTTATGTTTTATATATTACAAATAATAATTTCACACAATTGTTCAATACGGGTGATCCTCCGACGATATTTGATATGCTTGATATTTTTCTTAGCTCTCAAATCACATTTCCGTTTGCGTTAACATGCACTGGTGTTGATATCGCTTACATTTTGTATACTGATAATGTGAAATATTACTTTATAGTGCCACTTTCAATCATTCCGGTTATCGTATCCTGCTTTGAAAGCCTACTCTCTCATTGAAAAATGTGGTTAGAACAAATATTATGTCGGGGAGAATTAGGTTCATCTATTATAATTGGAAGATGATGTTTCTTATTTCTAAATAATAGGCTATTAATGTGTATATACAAAACGTACTCGACAATAATTGAAGCAGGTGGAGCTTAAAAGCTAAAAACTTATGACAAGCAATTAACATACAAAGTAAACAAAAAACAAAAACGTGTACTCACAATGTCAAAATAAGAATAAATAAGTTGATACAAAAATAATAACAGGGATACGAACACAAAAGGACACACCTACATTAACTCCACAGAACACCAGTCACATGTGCATCCGGCATGGTGTCTTCAGGCAGGTGTATGTAGGTCACCAATGAATAATGCAACGAGAAACGATATACATTTCTTTACTTATGGTATTAACTGAAAGTTCGTATTTTGTAATCAGGTCATGATGTTGACAAATGTCTTCAGCGTAGATTGTGCAATCTCTGGTTGAAAACCCTTGCTGAGGATTGAAGGCATATATCTAGAATATCATGAAACTTTGAACAAGTACCTGAGGCGCCGAGCACCAGCGACATGTTTCTCCATAAGGGAGGTTGTTAATAAAGCGAGATGATCATTGTTGTCACATAATAATAAGCATGATAAATGTAGTGTATATATTAGTAATATCTGCAGCATGAAACAGACTACCACCCTCACCATAAGAGTATGTCTTTGCCTTATTGTGCTTGTTCTATTACTTCTATTCTGATGTATTTGAATCAATTTGTTGGAATGTTTTACAATACTTGTATAGTACCGTTAAGATAATAAATGTATGTTTGTGTCTCGAAGTATACAAATCCTAATACGGGCAACTAATACATGTATGTCTAGGAACTTGAAGCAGACGACACGTGCGTACTGTACACAATTTCAATACAAATAAATTAGCCGGCTTATCATTACAGTTAATCCGGGTGGGGACAGCTACTGGCTGCCACATTTCATACATGTGATCGATATGACACACCAACATGTATGGATATCGATTGAGACTTAACATATGTTTAAGGCCCTTTCGCCATGATCTACATTTTGTTAATAACCATGCATGTGAGATGAGAATTTAATGCAGTTATTTTTTTGAGTGTAACGACAAGACGGCTTCGAGCATCAATCATCCTTCGATGATTTTTTAATGAGAACTGTGACCAAATAATAAATATACTCAACATTTGATTTTATTGTTACTAATATCTTATATTTCCAGTGTTGTTTTATGCATGCCTATATTAAGGGCATTGATTTGATTAGTGTTCTAAGATTATATTATGTTTTTTAAATTTGTTTTCACCTATTCTACCCTGATGTTTCGGATCAAGCATCTTTAAAAGACAGCGAGAGGATACCAAAATGTGAACGAAAACCCTAATTTTAAATCGATAACTCTAGGAAAAATGATGGAAAATAGGAAAAATTTACATGACCCGTAAACAAAATACAAGGAGATTAACACAGCGTATTCTGGTATCGTATGCGTGTTCTGATTCATCATCGACACCTTCCATATAAATCTAGGTGATATCCAAACAATGTCACTTCCTCAATGTGAGACCCAGGGTAGTAACAGAGAACCCACAAAACACATTAATGATCATGATAAAAAACTCTGACCATCGTATGTATTGCACAAGGAATATTTCCAAATAAGATAACGATACAAATGAATGTACCTTTTCCATTTATCCGGGAGGCATTAAAATAATAAAATATCTCGTGTTTATGTCAACTTTGTTGTTACATCCGGTAGAAGTGGAAATCAGAACTTGAAGCATACGTTGAGCTGTAAACTAAATCCTGACGTCACTTTATTTTAAATGCGAGTAAACTCTAACTGCATTGACACACATTAACTATGTTGGCAAACGAAGGTACAGGTATGCTTCAAACGTTTGTGTTTCTAAATATAGTTTAATTATTGCTGATCTATTTTGTTGTGTAGAAGCAGGTAGCCGACAGAAATGTGTATTTTAAGGGGATTTGTATATTTTTGCTATCTTTACTCATTCAATATTTTGTTTGTTTTTAATGTAGTTAAACTATTGGTTACCTACAGGATGTTGAATGTGTTATATTGAGTCAGGTGTTAAGTAGTATATATATATATATATATATATATATTTTATGGAAAAATTGACCCTTTACAAATCATTTTATGTTTCTTTTTGACATGAGGTGGTCACCTTATAACTCTTATTATTACACTTATTTTCAGTTATAATTTTCGACATTTTGATAAGAAATCTAGTTTAACTATTAAACAAACGATCACACAGGACTGCATCAGGTGCACTATAATCGAGGAACATTTGTTACGTATGCATTAGTATAACGAAAACTGTTCTCCATGGAGGTTTCGCGCTTCATTTCATACGAAGTCACGATGTTATTCAACTTTCTTTTGTCAAAAGTTCGATTCAAAACAATAGGGTTTTTGATCATCACAAGCATGAAATCAATACCCACGTTACTGGTATAAAAGTATAGAAATAAGAGTATACCTTCATCTAGAAAAGTCATGATTTCACTAAGAAATAATTTTGTTTACAATCTTTTTACATGACGCATAGTTGACGTATTTGTACTGCTCTGTTGATATGATAAACCGGATGTTCTATTTATAGCATCACGATGATACACACGAGTAGTAAGTTACCGAAGCAATAACACATCTGCCTGTCGTATTCGTTGGTTGATGGACGTACCTGCAGATAGGGTCTCAGTGTCCGACAGGTAAGTAACCTAATGGACATCGTTTGGTCAAACTCACTAATGTGGTCATTAACACTAAGATGGTGTTTATCATAAACCCTTCCTTTCGATATTATATATACCGTATCTTTATAAGGGTTTACGTGCCATATGTATCGAAGAGAACAAAATCAATTCATGGTTATCAATGAGAAATCACCCTACAAACCAGCCGGATAATATACAATAATAGTGTCGACGCTAAAACATAGATGAATAATCTCAGCTACATTTAAGTTCACTGGAGAGCTGTCATCTTATTTCTCGTACGAATAATGTCTACTTTACGGCCGTTTTATGGTTTGTTTACAGGTGCAGTTGGGAATCATTTGAATATTGAAATGAAATTTTAATAATAAGGGAGAGAAAAACTTGTCATGACCTACCTAATCGTCGGTATTTAAACGTTTAATAATAATCGTAAGGCTCATGTCTTTGTCAAATCTAACATCATATGTGTAAACAGATGATATGACCAAGTAATATCCTCTTTAAAGTACCACTTACCTAGGCACACACACCAGACGGAGGTCGTGGTGTTGTGAAATATATATACATTTTGTTTGTGTATATTTGCATTTATGACATACGTTACATTTTCAGAGATTCAATCTTTCAAAATTTTACGTTTACCTGGTGTTAAGATGAACTGGTTTTGAACAGCTGTTTGTTAAGTGTGACATAAAAGAAAACGATCTTCTTAAGTAGTATTTATGATATCAGATAATATAAAAATTAGGGATAAAAGATTTGTACGATATAAATTACAAACGCATATGTGTGAAAGGTAGACATATAAGAAATCATTCAAAATACAGACCATCCTACGGGAGACCATCCTACGGTAGACCATCCTACGGGAGACCATCCTACGGTAGACCATCCTACGGGTTGATATTATAATATTCAAACGGAAACATGTGGGCGTTTGCACGGATGCCTTTGACAGTATATTGACTGGTTAGCGCCCCCCCTCCTTTACCCAAGTTCAAATATATCCCGAACTAAAAAACTGAAACCGTAAGCCATATACAATTTGTGACAGGGGAGACGAATCATAATCAAATTGTGATATAATACATATTTTCACGCCAGAATGAAGAATAAAAAAATCACGAACTATAGGTTATTGTTATAGTATAATTATATAGCCAGGATTCATTTGAATATGGAACCTTATCGTACTAAGAAAGTATTCTTTAAACCTGTTTAGCTGGGTACTATTTTCAAATTCGTCAACAGTTTTTATCGTTAATGATAAATAAATATATTTGAAGAATCTTTTTTTTTCTTTCAGAAATACGAAACTTTCCGAAATGCTGTTTAAGTTTATAACAGTCATCCTGATAAGTTATGTAGCCTTCCACTCCGTCTCTGGGACAGTGAGTAAGTAAATAACAATGTAACAGGACTGGAATGTTCTCTCCCTGTAATGATACATCCCTTGTTAGCCCTTGTAACGTATTGCCACAAAATCTGCTCATGTACTGATGTAATGCACAGTATTTTTAAGGCTAGGTATCTTATATAACAATCGTAAATCTAAAGACAATTTCGTGATAGTAACGTTCATCCACTCATTCACTTAAACTCGCTGCACACCTAAAATATGTCATGGAAAAATTAAAGGCACGAAGATGGTCATTTAGTGCTAACCAATTGCTAGGTTGATACCTGTTCTTTGAAGATTACAGAAGACCAACATCCGACTGCAAAGCAGGTCGATTTTACCGTTTTACTGTCGCACGATTCTTCTGAAGTAGGTCAACGGATCAGACTAGACCAACTTGTATATTCCACACATTGGCGCAAATTAAACAAGCCATGACATATTTCAGGGGTGCAGAAAGCGTAAGTTAGCGTAACCCACATCCCAACAATAGATAGACTTAGATTTTTTCCATGATTTACAGATTAACTTTTATTAAATATTATAATGTTAGACTCCCAGTAAAATATTTATCCTATTGTATACACCATTTTAATTATGATATGAAAATAATTTTGTTTTCAAGTTGACCTGTTGCAGTTGGATGATACAACGTGCCCTTACGAGATCCATCATCTTAATGAGTACAGCACGTACGAAGTGAGATGGGATGGGCGTATACTACCCTATGACTGTAAAATGTCATTCATTGGTAGAGACTCAACTGATGCGTCAGTAAGCTTCCAGGTCTGCGTGAAAGCCCAAACATTTGACGTCAACGACTGTGATTTCAAAATGAAATACTTCAGTGGTTACAACTCCGTTTCAGCAGCGAGGGTAATTATGCATACATATTTATATGTACAATCTGAAAACTCATAACATTATGCGGTTACTTGTCCCTCTTTGCCTATACACAAGCATTGTATTACTTTATGATGTAACTGGCCAACTTTACCATGTTATACTGCCATGTAATGAATGTGGCTTAACACCTGTGTAATACAACCTAAGTGTGCTGCGATTGGTCAAAACCGTGAAAGCATATTCCTACAATACTAATTTTATTAACTATACCACATGATACATTAACTGCTATTTCAAATAAATATAAAATATTTATCTTGTCATTATTATTTTCATTGCTATTGAAATTGTCCATATAAAAAAAACATATCTGGAACTACTTTGCACTGCGTGAAATGACAGTACTATGATCGGAGTTCTTTGGTTATACACATAAAGAGACAGTTGATAATAAATATTTGTGTTTGAAGTTTAAAAAAAACCCCACATGAATGTGATAAATGTAATCTTTTATTCGTGTTCTTGTCATATCAAGTTTAACAAACAAGTTAAATAATTAGATATGACACGAGCATTTGAGTGTCATATTATTTAACGAGTTCAATAAATTTAATATGAAATGGACACGAATGTACGATCCTCTATGTATTACACAAGCGTACATATTAAGAGCAATACTCTTATATGTAATTGTAGTTATATTCCCTCTGCAGGCCTCTCGCCTAACACCTTCGTTCTGTAGAATCTCTCTGATACTATGGGGAAAGCACTATACTTATTCGACGTCGTGGATGATCGATTAAAGTTATTGAAATACATAATATGATTTCATCAAGTAACATTGTATAACTACCTTTACCTGTAACACATAACAAATCAACATTGTATAACTGCCTTTACCTGTAACACATAACAAAACAACTTTGTATAACTACCTTTACCTGTAACACACAACAAATCAACATTGTATAACTACCTTTACCTGTAACACATAACAAATCAACATTGACATTTCGTTTTATTTGAAACTTATGGAACGAGGTCAAAGATTTCAGATTTTAAAAAACCTCGAGATGAAAAGAAAGGTGCAGGATGAATTTTATAAAATTTCAAGTACATTAGAAGCCAAATTCGAGGCCCATATTCATCATATTACCACAGTAATTACGAATATTTGAAAAAAAGTCTGTTTTCTCTTACCATCATCAAATCTTAAACTTCGCCATTCCATACATGTGTCTTTTATCTTCAGTACATTTTATTGTCTTATTCTGACGTCGAAATTGGTTGTATTGGTGACAAAATGGCGGGAAATATGTCCATTCTATGCATGCTTCACTACCTATACATATTCACATAAGTCTTAATGCATTGCATTTTATAGCTAGTGTTTCCTAAAATAACCTGTATAGTTTAAGTTCCTATTGTTTAGATGTTTTCGGTTTAGACAGGCTAAATTGTAATATAGAATAGTTCAATGTTTTCTGTGTTATTAAATGCTAATCTTAATGCAATTAATCCCTCAATGTTTTCTGTGTAATCTAGTGCTAATTGTGCTGCCATCTATCCTTCAAGATTTTTCTGTGTTGTTTAATGCTAATCTTGATGCATTTAATCCCTCAATGTTTTCTGTGTAATCCAATGCTAATCTTGCTGCCATCTATCCTTCAAGATTTTTCTGTGTTATTTAATACTCATTTCTGCAGCTATTAGCCCTTTAATATTCTCTGTATTATTTAATACTCATTTCTGCAGCTATTAGCCCTTTAATATTCTCTGTATTATTTAATACTCATTTCTGCAGCCATTAGCCCTTTAATATTCTCTGTGTTATTTAATACTCATTTCTGCAGCTATTAGCCCTTTAATATTCTCTGTGTTATTTAATACTCATTTCTGCAGCTATTAGCCCTTTAATATTCTCTGTATTATTTAATACTCATTTCTGCAGCTATTAGCCCTTTAATATTCTCTGTATTATTTAATACTCATTTCTGCAGCCATTAGCCCTTTAATATTCTCTGTGTTATTTAATACTTATTTCTGCAGCCATTAGCCCTTTGATATTCTCTGTGTTATTTAATACTTATTTCTGCAGCCATTAGCCCTTTAATATTCTCTGTATTATTTAATACTCATTTCTGCAGCCATTAGCCCTTTAATATTCTCTGTATTATTTAATATTAATTTCTGCAGCCATTAGCACTTAAATATTCTCTGTGTTATTTAATACTTATTTCTGCAGCCATTAGCCCTTTAATATTCTCTGTATTATTTAATATTAGTTTCTGCAGCCATTAGCACTTAAATATTCTCTGTGTTATTTAATACTTATTTCTGCAGCCATTAGCCCTTTAATATTCTCTGTATTATTTAATATTAGTTTCTGCAGCCATTAGCACTTAAATATTCTCTGTGTTATTTAATACTTATTTCTGCAGCCATTAGCCCTTTAATATTCTCTGTATTATTTAATATTAGTTTCTGCAGCCATTAGCACTTAAATATTCTCTGTGTTATTTAATACTTATTTCTGCAGCCATTAGCCCTTTAATACTCTCTGTATTATTTAATATTAGTTTCTGCAGCCATTAGCACTTAAATATTCTCTGTATTATTTAATACTCATTACTGCAGTCATTAGCCCTTTAATATTCTCTGTATCATTTAATACTCATTTCTGCAGCCATTAGCACTTAAATATTCTCTGTATCATTTAATACTCATTTCTGCAGCCATTAGCCCTTTAGTATTCTCTATCTAATACTCATTTCTGCAGCCATTAGCCCTTTGATATTCTCTGTGTTATTTAATACTCATTTCTGCAGCTATTAGCCCTTTAATATTCTCTGTGTTATTTAATACTTATTTCTGCAGCCATTAGCCCTTTAATATTCTCTGTATTATTTAACACTCATTTCTGCAGTCATTAGCCCTTTAATATTCTCTGTATTATTTAATACTCATTTCTGCAGCCATTAGCCCTTTAGTATTCTCTATCTAGTACTCATTTCTGCAGCCATTATCCCTTTAGTATTCTCTGTATTATTTAATACTCATTTGTGCAGCCATTAGCCCTTTAGTATTCTCTGTATTATTTAATACTCATTTCTGCAGCAATTAGCCCTTTAATTTTCTCTATATCTTTACTTAGGAGTACTCCTGTTATGGCGGATTACCTCCGATGTTTTGTGCCGACGAGGACGAATATCTCGACCTCAAATTCCAAGTAACAGACTCCTCTGCATCTTCATTGACCTTGATTGTTACAGCAGAGAAGAAATGTACGTATAATAAAATAAATATAAAAACATTTTGATAGGAACGGGTATTTATCATTTTCTATGTCTTGTTTTAACATATATCATTCTGAAGTCATTAGAATGTATTTATAATGGAATGACTTGTTTACCTGTAATATAGGAGCACAAAAGCAATGTTACTACATACAGACAAATCATAATTGATAGATAAAGTATTATTAATACATGATTTAGATATATAGTCAAAAGCCAAATGCATAAAAAAGAATGTTGAATTGTCTTGTTACAAAAATTTAAGAGGAATGGAAAACGCATTTGTTTCAGAATGTCTTTTGGTGTCATTTTCGGTATAATTACTTTACAGATGAACACCAGCGTGTCTTCTTGTACGTGGGTGTTGGCTTAGCTGTCACTGCCTGTTCAGTGGTGTTTTTATTACTGTTTATACTGTACCGGAAGAGGCAACAACAACGAAGCCAGGGACTAATAATGCAACATACCACACCCATGATACAAAGTCCCACCATGTACGCCTCGGCACCACTGAACCAACCATACGTACAACCTGTACAAGGTAAAGATTTTAAACATAAAAAGCAAATATTTAAAAACATTTCTTAGCAACTTGTTTGTTGCATTTTTTTTTAAAGAGAAATGCTCCGCATGTTAGGGGGAAGATGTTATCAAACGATGCGACTGATGTGGTTTTTTTCGGACCTCAGACAGGGATATCCCACGTCATACCCCATGCTAAATTTTTCGATCTCGTCCGATCCGTCTTGTACCTTTAATTGACATTTCGCTGAATTTTTACACTGCGATGTATTCATCCGTGCGTTAATTGCTTGAAATTGGCAATCTACATTATAAATGTTCTGTTTTGTCGTTATATGTATAGTTTTGATGTTGTAGATAAAATATAAGAGGCGACTAACGCGGCCACCACAAGAGGCGACTAATGTGGTTATTACAATAGGCGACTAGTGTGGTTATCACAAAAGGCGACTAATGAGGTTATCACAAGACACGACTAATGAGGTTATCATATATAGGAGGTGACTTATGCGGGGCCTCTGCAGAATCAGGGGTATTCTTTTAAAGCATTTGCTTAAGGAATACTGAAGCGTCCAAAATCGACCTGAAACCCCTATTACAACACTTGGGATTTGTAATTTTGGTTCTCTTGTTTATTGCTGCCATTTCTGCGGTGTCCCTTTTATCCGTTTATTATGACCCAGACGTTTAACTACAACCACATACAAATACACAAACAAACATATCAATGCATCCTTTAAACCATATTGAAGACATTTAATTTGTATTGAATCACATTTTTTCAGGTGTCCATCCAGCACCGCCAATGGTCTTTCAACATTCAACACCTATCCCTCCTCCGCCGTATTCCGAATCGTCTACAGAGGAACCAAAGCTGCCTCTGTCTTATTAGGAAACCTTTCAAAACACCCAGAAACATAGCTTACAGCATCCTGAGTTCATTTTATTTTATTAAGGATATCACTTTTCATTCGCCAGAAGGTTTACACTTCTGTTCATTAGATATATGTGCCATAGAGTGTTTTATAATAGGTAGGTGTTATTGTAGATGTTGAGATCTATATAAAAAAGTAATTATATGTATGTATGTATGTATGTATGTATGTATGTAAAGGTCCCATTTTTTTCTTTTATAAGTGGTCCTTGATTTATCACAAAGCCATCATAATGCTGGTGACATTACAGCAAGGTTTTATTACAAACTCCATATACGTCACGATAAAACACACACATATTTTAGATACCTTTACAAATGTTATTTTCCAAGTAATACAACATATGAATTTGTTTTCATTTGAACTAAAGTAGTTGTATATTACAAGTAAATTGTTTATATACAATTGTATTGTTCAGCAGGTGTAAATACTATAATGAAATACTTTCAATATTTTTAATGATTTTATCAAGCAAATGATTTTCAATATATTTCTAATGAAAACTTTTCTCATGGTTTCTGTATTTTGTCGTATTTTGTATGTATGACATTGACGTATTGCCTGACACTCGGTTTTACATGTAATCACAGTTCTTGGTATGCGATATATATACATGGAGTGAAAACAACTTCTCAGCATCACTGCACTGATCAACAACTGTACAAGAAATTGCATGTTTGAAACTTTTGTGATTTGAATGTCATTTAAAAACAACTATTGTTAGTCTGCAGGTTGCTGACTTTACAAGTTTGTCATATTATTTCCTGTAAACATTGTCTTACAGGTATGTTTACTTAGTATGGTATCTATTAGTGTATGCTGATGCTTTTAATTTTATAGATATTGTTGATGGTAGCTTTGTCACATAGAATAGTGAAAAAAGGTGAACTGAAGATTTATTGTTAGTGTTTTTTTTTTTTTTCATGATTAAAATATTTTGATTTCTGTGATAATGTCATGTAGTATTAGAGTTTATTTTATATTGTTATATTACAACCATTTTGTTAAATAATGCAAAGGTTACATGTTTAAAATAAAAGTTATATCGAAGCACAGAGTATTGTAGTATTTACAAGCAGCGTGTTTGGAAGTATCTAATACATCTACATCACTGATATGTCTACATCATTGATACATCTACATCACTGATTCATTTATCAAAAAGAAGACAAACCCAAATAATATAATGTTCAAGATCTGATTTTATTCCCCTCCTATACTGATGATATGTTGTTATAAATGGCGTATGATGGCCAATGACTTCAGCCACACGACAGCTAAAAATTGAGGAGGAAACTGTATACAGAATATACACCTTATAAAAGATGTTAATACTGAAATGAAACTTGAATGAATTATCATTAGATTAAGAAGGGTTAATCGAAGTAAGATACTCCAAAAGGCAGGGCAATTGAAAAGCCAGTGCTACCACCGCCAAAACAGAGTACTGGAGAAAAACGTGATCAGTCCTATGAGAAAATAGCAATAAATTGTACTCCAAGAAAATTTGCCCACTTGTGGAACAAATTTCAAAAGGAAAATGCTCAAATGAAAAACTGTACCAAAACAAATTTGACCATCAAAGCGTGACAAATACGTTGCAAAAACGGCCCCAGTGCATGTCACATATGCAACTGAATGACCAAAAACAAACAACACGCGAAAAATAGGGCCAATTTCCCGCTGCGAAATCACAAAAACGTAGCAATGTTCCGCACCAACGAGTCGGAACTGAGGAGCCTACCCAAACAAGATTATGGGCGATTTTGCATCCTCACAAAATGCAGAAAAAAACCATCTTAAAGTTTAGCCACATTAAAATGAAATTGTTCAATCATGCATGATAATTTGGGCTTCATCCTACGACTGATCAAGCATTTCTCAACATTCTAGATAAGGCCAGTTTTAACTGCCATGAGGATGCGACATCCACTCGTTTGCTAACAATAACAACTGCAAACCATGCTGTAATCTGTACAAAGAGATATCGTTGCCAATGCTACTTAGAAAAGCCCTGGACTTCTGTCTGTTAATTTAGGGTACCTTATGTAACCGCCCCTGTTACAGAGTAGATGTGCACTGACTTGGCTTTTAATTGTATAGATTGTATATCTAAGTACTGTAAAGCACATTAGGGTGACTTATTCTAACTGGATAGGACGCTTTGTCAAATGTTGTATATCATTTATGCAGGCAGCTTGGTGACACACAGCGCCCCTCCATTTTAACCGAAGTAGAATAGCAGACCAATCGATTGACGATAGTTGCTTTTAGAACCGTTAACATCCTACACCTTTACAAGCCGTAATCCATAATGAATCACCAGGATATCAGGATGGCTTTCCATAGGTAAAAGGAGCTTTATATGGGCCAACAAGTGAATTCAACGGAAACCCCCTTTTTGCATGCCTTAAAATAGAAGACTGACGTCTTCTCACTATTTAGATTCGTCTGTTGTATTCTGAAACTTGAGCATAAATCAAGCTTTTTTTTAAAACAGAAATTACAGCAAGGCATCACAAGTGATACAGGTCCTTCCGCACACTTTTTAGCAAAACAGACGAAAATATGACAGCAAAATATTTCTGCACGAATGCGTTGAAGGTATCGTCATGACAAACACTTGTATCGAGTTTCATAAATTCCGTTGAGGAATGAAGTCGATAGAGCGATGACAAATCTTTTTTCTCTAAGAAAAAGTGACAGTGCCCTTGACCTCAACAAAGAAACCCAAATATCAAGGCTTTGCAATATCAAACACTTGTATACAGTTTTATATAGTTCCGTTGAAGAATGGTGTCGCTAGAGCGATGATAAAGATTGGAACATACGTACGGGCCGAAACCTATATCCCCTCGAACTTTCGTTGCGTGGGGATATAAACCTGTCGGTTGGAATTCTTATGTATTTCTTAAAAGCCATGGACTCCCAACTCCCATCTCTTTAATCTTATTTCTCTGGAACCCTTTTCAGCCACCACCATAAAGGAATGATAATTGTAGCCACCACCTTAACCCATAGTGACAATACAAAATAGTTTTGTAACATGCACCTGCGCACTAATGGACGTATTAAATACATCACTTAGGATAACATTGCTATTTCTTGTTCAAAATTGAGGCCTGATCCTCATTATCAGTTTACAAAATGATGCTTTCGTTCTGGAGACCAAGAAACCGAAAAACGAAGTTAGCCATGTCAATTGGAACGAGTTCAAGAAAGAGGATGTCATGAATAAATATTGACTCAACCCACTTTTGGGGCAACAAGCTTACTACCCAAATATCATGAAAAAAGGGTCCACCACCCTTGCTACGAACTCCCCCTAAATTGTCAGTTAAGATCTAGAGCTTCCTGTCAAAGTCTGGAACTGTTTAAATGTGATTTTCTTTAGACATGTATAAACATTTGATGGGATTAAATTACCGCGCCCAACAAATACAGGCCAGAAAGTTCCTGTTAAGTCCATGGGTGTAACATAGGGAAATTCCATACAATGTTTTTTCTTCAATCTTCTTTTATAATATATTATAATATATAAATAGTGTTTATTATAATATATAAATTATAATATATAAATATAATATTAACCAAAGTCAAATCGATGTGGAAAACGAAAACTAGTAGGGATTTTCATAGCAAAAGGAATAAGGTAAAAACAATGACCATGTTACTTGTACATATATACATATATATGAATGTTACTTGTACATATATACATATATATAAATGTTACTTGTACATATATACATATATATAAATGTTACTAACTTTCTGTTAGATCAATAATCACGTGTGAATACAAAAATGTATATCTATAAACAATTTCAATCAACGAGGAGATAAAAGTCACGATTTCACCTACGTGTTCTGTTTACAGTGTGTCTTCATGACCCATGTATAACATGTTTTGTTTACAGTGTGTCTTCATGACCCATGTATAACATGTTTTGTTTACAGTGTGTCTTTATATAACTTACGTATAACATATTTTGTTTACAGTGTGTCTTTCTGACTCATATATAACATGTTTTATTTACAGTGTGTCTTCATGACTCATGTATAACGTGTTCTGTTTACAGTGTGTCTTCATGACCCATGTATAACATGTTTTGTTTACAGTGTGTCTTTATACAACTTACGTATAACATGTTTTGTTTTTAGTGTGTCTTCATGACTCATGTATAACATGTTTTGTTTACAGTGTGTCTTCATGACTCATGTATAACATGTTTTGTTTACAGTGTGTCTTCATGACTCATGTATAACATGTTTTGTTTACAGTGTGTCTTCATGACTCATGTATAACATGTTTTGTTTACAGTGTGTCTTCATGACTCATGTATAACATGTTTTGTTTACAGTGTGTCTTCATGACTCATGTATAACATGTTTTGTTTACAGTGTGTCTTCATGACTCATGTATAACATGTTTTGTTTACAGTGTGTCTTTATATAACTTACGTATAACATGTTTTGTTTACAGTGTGTCTTCATGACTCATGTATAACATGTTTTGTTTACAGTGTGTCTTCATGACCCATGTATAACATGTTTTGTTTACAGTGTGTCTTCATGACCCATGTATAACATGTTTTGTTTATAGTGTGTCTTCATGACACATGTATAACATGTTTTGTTTACAGTGTCTTCATGACCCATGTATAACATGTTTTGTTTACAGTGTGTCTTCATGACCCATGTATAACATGTTTTGTTTACACTGTGTCTTTATATAACTTACTTATAACATGTTTTGTTTACCGTGTGTCTTCATGACTCATGTATAACATGTTTTGTTTACAGTGTATCTTTATGACTCATGTATAACATGTTTTGTTTACAGTGTGTCTTCATGATCCATGTATAACATGTTTTGTTTATAGTGTGTCTTCATGACACATGTATAACATGTTTTGTTTACACTGCGTCTTTATATAACTTACTTATAACATGTTTTGTTTACAGTGTGTCTTCATGAATCATGTATAACATGTTTTGGTTAAAGTGTCTTCATGACACATGTATAACATGTTTTGTTTATAGTGTCTTCATGACCCATGTATAACATGTTTTGTTTATAGTGTGTCTTCATGACCCATGTATAACATGTTTTGTTTATAGTGTGTCTTCATGACACATGTATAACATGTTTTGTTTACAGTGGCTTCATGACCCATGTATAACATGTTTTGTTTACACTGTGTCTTTATATAACTTACGTATAACATGTTTTGTTTACAGTGTGTCTTCATGAATCATGTATAACATGTTTTGTTTAAAGTGTCTTCATGACACATGTATAACATGTTTTGTTTACACTGTGTCTTTATATAACTTACTTATAACATGTTTTGTTTACAGTGTGTCTTCATGAATCATGTATAACATGTTTAGTTTACAGTGTGTCTTTATGACTCATGTATAACATATTTTGTTTACACTTTGTCTTTATATAATTTACGTATAACATGTTTTGTTTACCGTGTGTCTTCATGACTCATGTATAACATGTTTTGTTTACACTGTGTCTTTATATCACTTACGTATAACATGTTTTGTTTACAGTGTGTCTTCATGACTCATGTATAACATGTTTTGTTTACACTGTGTCTTTATATAACTTACTTATAACATGTTTTGTTTACAGTGTGTCTTCATGAATCATGTATAACATGTTTAATTTACAGTGTGTCTTTATGACTCATGTATAACATGTTTTGTTTACAGTGTATCTTTATGACTCATGTATAACATGTTTTGTTTACAGTGTGTCTTCATGACTCACGTATATCATGTTTTGAAATGTCAAGCTAAACTGTAACTTTTTACTATCGAGCTAACACGGATGGGATATTTATAGCATCAAGATGATACGCACGGGTAGCCAGATATTGGCGCAATAACACATTACCTGTCGTATTTGATGGTTTGAAGACATACCTGTGTTTCTGTTCTCACTGTCTTATTACAGGTAAGTACACAAAATGGACAACATAAGGTCAAACTCACCAGTATCGTAATTATCATGAAGATATGTGTTAAACAGGAATATATATTTTGCTTATATTCTGTAGTGTATTTTCGTAAGGGTTTACGTGTAGTACATGCTTCGAGAAAAACAAAATCAATAATTGATCTATATGTACAAACCAGCAGGAAAATATACCTAGTTATTTAGGTAAGAAATAACCTAAACTCTACATTTAAGATTGCTGGAAAGCTTTCATTTTATTACCTGTACGAGTAATAGCATTTCATGGTCTTGTTGACAGACTCGGATGGTAGACATTTGAAATGTTGAAAACAGTTGAATAATAAATAACATGGTAGTTTACCACGACGTGCTCAATCGTCGGTATTTACACAAAATGTAGAAGTTTATCATTATTTAAAGGAATGGCGGTGGCTGGGTTGAGGGGGAGGATTATGGGAGTCGGGGATGTCTTCGTAACATCAATTGTCAAAAATAGATATAAGGCATTGTAAACGGACCCAGAAATATCCTCTTCAAAGGGCCACCTCGCCAGTCACTCACACAAAATGGTGGTCGTGTTGTTGTGAAATGTGTATGCATTATATGTGTATATATTTGTATTGTTAGCATTTGAGAAATTTTCAGAAATACAATTTTTATTTGCATTGTAGGCATTTCTGGAATGTTCAGAAGTAAAGTCTTTTTTTTACTTGGCGTTAAGCTGTTTATGCCTTAAATAGCTTAGTCCGGGTGTGTCAGGAAGGAAAGTAGCACTTGTCATATCAGATAATATGCAAATTGGATATTTATACGATCCTCACTATAAAAATATATATTGAAGGGAAAGGTGCCAGTAATCCATTAACTACCACACGGGATCGTCTCCTACAAATAGCTGGAATGCAACCAGGACAGTGATATTATGTTTAAAACAATAACGTGGTTCTCGTGTTTTTTTTTGTCATTTTTCTTTATAAGCATATGCATGGGACTAAGTGTTGTTTTACAGATTATGCACTAGTCATTCAGGGCTGTTCTCGTTGACTAAGTGTTTTTTACAGATTATGCACTAGTCATTCAGGGCTGTTCTCGTTTCCTCACGTTTTGGAGAGCAAAGAAAAGTGTTGACATAGGAAGACAAAGGCAAACCAATTGTAGTCTGTTTCACACTAAATCAATAGGTTACACAGGTAAGTTCACTAACCTGTGTTATCTGTAGCTTTTCCGTGTGTGTGATTAATATTTTGTTTAGTATTGTTTTAGTAAATATATCACACAGTAAGTAAATGTTTAGGTATAAAATTAATAAATATGTATAATTATTAGTAGACAATCAATTGTCTATGGTTTTGAATACATGTGATAGTTTGGAAATCTGTTTAAATAAGATAAAATAAATCAATAGCAGCACTCAATGCATTTACATATGACACAATCATTACGTCATACTTTTACATGTAGTCTGTCTTAACACTACAATACAGAGACATAACAAGCACTGCATAATAATGCATGTTTAGATGTCAAATCCGACAATGTATTTCACATACATTACATTTACTTATCACACAATATAAACATTTGATACTATATAGCACTATATTAAGAATATTACAATCTAGTAATATTTAAACTTTGCATTACATTAGATTTTTTATAATTCCAATGCTAAGCACAGCATTATAAAGTATCACACATTTGTATTGCAATCAGTCTCCAAGTGTAAGAACTACAGCAACCAAGCTTTGACCATTGCTTCATCTTGGCTTCTTTATTACAGTGAATGCCTCAGACGCTGTATGAGTCCTACATTTCCTGGTACAGCGACTGTTGAAGCGTCCTCATCATCGTTTAGTTTTTGTGTTTAGCTGTGTGTTATCTCAATATATTTTGGTGCTGGATATGTTCTGGGATTATTTTTCCAAATATCCCAATAGTAAAAATAATCATTCAACTTTTTTTTATTATTTTAAACGTATTAACGTTGATATATTCAAGAGTTTGACAATTCAATAGATAGATTCTTATTTAAAGTCAAATTTGAAGTTGATTTGATTTTGAAAGTTTGAATATTAGTGAACATTACTAAAGTTCTGTCATCACAATTTTTTTTATTTTTTTTTTCCGATGAAAATATTTGCTGTTGATGGTCAAAGTTGGGGCAGTCAAAACATATATTTCGGTGGAATTTTTTAAAAGAATATTTCAACTAAAATATTATTACAAAGTGAAATAAATTATATATCAAATGTTATATAAGCATCACTTTCACTAAAAAAAAGAATAAAAAAATCCTCTCAGTTTTGATTTTATTTTTATTAAATTTTTTAATATCTTATGTGATATCTTATTAAACATCATCAGCTTCCATCTACAAAACATTACATAGAACAATTAACCACAGGGGAAAACACTGCCAATACTAACCAGAAACAGACTATAATCCTTCTAACACCATTATTGTCTTTATTTTTTTTTAAGTGGGGGAATTGGGAACGTGCAGTCAGTCACCCGAAATCAGCTATGCTGGACTGAATGGAAGCAAAGGACCATATACTATAATAGCAAATTGTAATATGTTACATATTTTCATGCAATCATCTAGAAAAAAAAATCTCGGGCTAAAGATCAATATTGAAAGATAGTGATAAGGTGAGTTTACTTTTAAAAAAAGAGTAAAAAGGGATAAAGAGGTTTACTTGTACTATATGGTTAGTATTTAAAATGAATACGGAACCTTAAATCCTTATCAATATCAATCATACTAACACAGTTAAAAGAAGTCCTCTTCAAAACACGGTGAAATAGTTATCGACTTAAAAATATTACACTACAGCTTGTTATGATATATTATTATTAATTCAATAAGTTGTTATGACAATTGTAAAGGATTTTTTTTTTGATAAGTCTGGTTCTTTTTATTATTTCAGGATTTTATTATTTTAAGAATTCAAAGTAATTTTCCGAAATGCTGTTTAAGTTTATAACAGTCATCGTGCTGAACTATGTAGCTGTCTACTCCGTCTATGGAACAGCCAGTAAGTAAAAAAAAGGCAAGATTAGCATGTTCATCGATACAACGGTCGTAAAATTATTGCAACGTATTGTCGCAATATCAGCTAATGTACTTATAAAAAGCATGGTATTTTAAAAGTCTTGATATTTTCCATTGCAATTGAAATTTCAAAAAAACTAATAGTAATATTATCTATTGCAGTGTATTGCATAATAATGGTAATCAATTAAGGTATAAAGTTATGTTTGGTTGTCGTATATGTATACTAAAGCATATTTTCTGTACCATTACTTATGTTGTTAAGGTTCAACAGGTTGCCTCAATGATGATTTGGTCACCAAATGTTTCAAACCCCTGATAGGTCATAGTGAAAGACCGTTATCAAACATTGGTATTAAGATATTTGGACATCTTCAAATTGAACATTAGCTATTCAAAGGGTATATGGCGACGAAGAGTTTGTCCATTATGCGGTATTAGCGCTCATTGCTTAATACACTTGTTTACCGATTTTATAACATTTCAATCTCTCAAACGACACCCGCAAATGCTACGAAATGACATGGCCTAACATTTATCTGTATACGTTTGTCTTACGCGGCTTAATTTATATTTTGCTAGCTATGAAAAAGCATACCGGCCCCAAATCAAGAATCATTTTGTTTTTCTAGTTCATGTATTGGAGTTGGATAACACAACGTGCCTTTACAAGATTTACTACGTGAGTGAGCATGATTCGGTCCAAGTGGAATGGGATGGGATCCAACTTCCGTCAAACTGCAAAATGTCCTTCTTTGGACGTGATATTACCGATGATACAGAAAGTCATGAGGTCTGTGTGGAAGCCTGGACATATGACGTCAATGATTGCAATTTCACAATGAAATTCTTCAGTGGCCACGGCAGCGGTGTAGCAGCGAGGGTAAATATATATACATATTTATAGCTTTGTATATATGTAAATCTGAGAAATTATAGCGTAATGGGGGAATTATTATCCTTGCAATTTTCGATCCATTTTCCTGTTTTCGAGACAGAAACATTACTTTATTATATGATACAAACATTCAATACGAATAGGAATTATCCTATGGTAACTATTTAATTTTAGCAGTTGTAAAATCACTCTGATTGGCGGCATAGGGAAAGCAATATATATAAATCAGGACGAGGAAAAATGCTACCAAAACATTTCTTCTTTTTTATATAAATAAACAGGTTATAATGATATTTAAGTATAACTCATACAATGTCATGGATGAATGCATTCAAAGTTTGGAAATATATAATTTGGATTGAAAAATAACATGTTACTAGCTTTACTTGTAACACAAAAAGATCACACTGAAATTCCTTTCATACGAATAAGAAACCAAGTTTGAGACTACCATTTAAGGAAACCCCAAGAAGAAGAGAAAACTGAGAGAACAGGTTCATGTCAAATATACTTGAAGCGAATTCAAGATCCATTTTATCGCATTACTGAAGTGCTAAATGCGACAATCTGCTTTACCTTACAATCGCCAAGTCTTCTAGTTTGCAAGGTCGCATCACTTTGTTTCTTTAATACGTCACAACGCCTTTTGTTGACGTCGCAATTGGTTATGTACGTGACAAATTGTGTCTTTACAATGAATAACACGTTTCTCATGGGATAAAACATATATTTATTCTCATAATTTATATTGTGTAGCAATCGCAATGTTTCTTAGATAATCTCTTGACACATCCTATTTCTCTTAGTGGTGTCCGGTTAAGGGTTTTATTACAGTATAGACTCATTCAATATTTTTTCTGTATTATTTAATCTTATGTCTGCTGTCATTTATACAGGTTTAATTGTAGCATACAATCTCTCAATATTTTCTGTATCATACAGGTTTAATTCTAGTAAATAATCCTTCAATATTATCTGTTTTATTAAATCTTTTGTCTGTTATCGTTTATACGGCTTTAATTATAGCATACAATCCTTCAATAGTTTCTGTATTTATACTTGTTTAATTAAAGAATATCATCTTTCAATCTTTTCGGTTTTATCTAATGCTTATCTCTGCTGCCGTTTAGGAATACTCCTGTAATAACGGATTACCTCTAAAGTTTTGTGCCGACCAAGACGAATATCTAGACATCCAATTCGAAGCAACATCTTCCTCAACCTCTAACGTTACTTTGTTAGTAACAGGAAATGCGACATGTACGTATATGTTGATAAACCAGTTAGAAATGAATCACGGGAATGGATATTTACCATTGTGCTGTATGCTATACTAATTTACGAAATATTTCTTCCAAGTTTAACAAAAACAATAATGATCCGTAGAAACCATCTTTGGTCAATGGGACATATTTGCTTTCATGCAATGAAGGGACTTTGATAGCGGTGTTATTATAGATAAAAGATACAATATCTATAACATCATATAGACATATATATAATATATAATATCATGACACATAGCTGAAAAGTCCCGTTACGTTTATTCTAAGATGAATGATGAATGCTTACATGTGTTTGACACATTTGTTTATTTGCATTTATGATTTTGAAATGTTCCATGGCCTCTTCTGTTATCCTATATATACGCCAGTTCAGTCCCCACATCGGTTTACATGTGTTTGACTTAAAACATATGTTTTGTTTTAACATTAAGTTCATAACGATGTTTGGCGTTTTCTAAATATTTGTATTTGACATAAATTTGAAATGGGTAAGGACATCAACTAATAATCCAGATGAAGCAATATCATTAAAATACCATAGGTTATCCCATTGCTGAACAAACTTCCAAGCGAAGTCTTTATTATTTTATGAAGGTTAAGGACTAGTTTGCTTTTCATATTAACCATGAGGTATAGGAATTCGAGAAATAGGAAAACAACAATAAACATATTTTTATCACCAAATAAACCACAAATCTATCGAGTAAGGTAAAAGCTATTCATCTGAATTTGAGCTTATAATAACATTCAAAAACAGGCACATGTCAGCTTATAATAGCTACAAACAACAGGCCCATGTCAGCTTATACTAGCTACAAACAACAGGCCAATGTCAGCTTATAATAGCTACAAACAACAGGCTAATGTCAGCTTATAATAGCTATATAAGAAATGCCCATGTAATCTTATAATATCTATATACTACAGGTCATTTACAGCTTGTAACAGCTATATAGGTGTACGACAGACCCATGTCAGCTTATAACAGATATATATACTACAAGTTCATGTCAGCTTATAGCAGCAATATACTACAGGTTCATGTCAGCTTATAACAGTTATATACTACAAGTTCATGTCAGCTTATAACAGCAATATACTACAAGTTCATGTCAGCTTATAACAGCAATATACTACAAGTTAATGTCAGCTTATAACAGCAATACACTACAGGTGCATGTCAGCTTATAACATCTATATACAACAAGTTCATGTAGTCGTATAACAGCTATATACTACAGGTCATTGTCAGCTTATAACGGCTATATACTATAGGTCATTGTCAGCTTATAAGAGCTATACACTATAGGTCATTGTCAGCTTATAACTGTTTTATACGACAAACCCATGACAGCTTATGATAGCTATATCTGACAGGCCCATGGCAGCATATAACATATATATACGATATGCCAATGGCAGCTTATAATAGCTATACATCACCTGTCCACAGAAACTTATAACTGGTATACGACTCATCCATATCAGCTAATAACAGCTCAATACGACATGCCCATGCTAGCTTAAGACAGCACACAGAACAGGCCCATGTTGGATTACAATTTGAATTTATTTAATTTAAGTTTATACAAATACATATCTAAGGTATTCTGTCTCCTGAACCTCCAGAGTTAGGGTCCATAAAGGGTCATTGATGTATTACAAATGTATTAAATTTTGTGTGTTGATGATGTTTACATATACTTTTTATTTTGTATGTATTCTAGTAGTAGATGCTGTGAATTGATAATGTGAAGGCATGTGTTTAAATCATAAGATCAATTCAATTTTAAGTAAATTATGTCATTACTTGATTACCACGTGATTAGTTGCATAAGGCTAGAGATGAGGTCATCATACTAACTATTTATAGACATCACGTGACCATTGATGACCAATGGTCAGTTAGTAAGGTGACGCTAATTAAGCATCAGTTTACACAAGAGATTGTGGAGGCTGGCAGCAAATTTCGTTTCAATCTTGACGATTT